CCTGTTATATATAGACTTGTGAGTTTCTGTGTTTATACTTGCTTTTCTTGAACTCTATGAGGATAAGTTGTATATGCTATATCAATATTTAATTCCTTAAAATAAAGGTGTTCTCTTCTATAACGTTAGTTCAATTACCAACTTCAGTGAACTTCATGTTAATGTCATACTTCCATCTAATCTATGGTCTGTAGTATGATTTGATCAGTTGACCCAAAAATGTCCTTCACGGCATCCTTTTCTCTCCATTAAGCCTCTGGTGCAAAATCACGTATGTGTTTAGTTGTCATGTCTCGTTAGTCTTTTAAAATCCAGAATAGTTCCTCCGCTTTATTATTATTATTGTTTTGTCTTTTATGACATTGGCATTTTCATGGAGGAATGTTTTCAATTTTGAAAACAAACATATTAGAGGGACGGGAGAAAATGCATTTTTGGTTTCTTTCGGTTATGGAGGAAATACCTTTGCAAGCAAAACCTTCAAGAAATGCCAAACCTAGGTGTGACTTTCTGAGAAACTAAACATTTCTATACAACCAGAGCAAAGTAACCCAACAGAAACCCCAACCAGATCCACACGCATTTGCCACGAATATGACCGACTGAAAAGGTTAGCGATAAGCTTCATTCGAGGAAGTAAGAAAAGACCGACACCCTAAAAAAAGCCCATAGGCCGAGCTCCAGACAGACACAAGTGGCTGGAAGTAGGGAAACAACTGACTTCCAGGACAATCCCGTGAAGGCCAGTGTAAACAGCAGGCATCCATTCATTTTTAGAAGATTGGCCGAGTGACCGAGAATCATCCCCGGATTGTGTAGAGAAAGGGCCACCATCTCACTTCAGATACCACGCATGTTGAGGCGGTTATGGAACTTGGGTTGGGGCGCACATGCCATCGCTTTGAATAGCTGTGACTCGTGTCTTGAGTTGTGTGGATGGTTGACTGTCATAGATTTGTGCATTGTGGTTTATAGATGTTTATTTTTTAATGATATGCTCCCAGAATTGTAACTAATAGCGGCATCGCTCTTTAAGAAAACATGATTTTAGATTTTTTTTTGTTTGGGTCAGAGTCTCACTGTGTCACCCAGGCTGGAGTGCAGTGGCACTCTCACGGCCACCACAGCATCAACGGGCTGGGCTCAGGCGATCCTTCCACCTCAGTCTCCCAGGTCACTGGAACTACAGGCATGAGCCACCATGCCTGTCTAATTTTTTGATCTGTTATAGAGCTGAGGTCTCGCCTTGTTACCCAGGCTGGTCTCGAACCCCTGGGCTCAGGCAATCCTTCTGCTTTGCCTCCCAAGGTGCTGGGACTACAGGTGTGCCCCACCATGCCTGACAATGTCTTGTCTGTTCTCACGGGGAAACGCCTCTCATGTCATGGCATCTTGTCTTTTTCTTCCTTGCTTTCCTTAGCAGATAAGCCGTTCAGCTGCTCTCATTTGATCTCCCCCACCCTGTCATTCATTCTGGGAGACTGAGCCTTTCTCATACAATGGCCTCTTTCTGCCTCAGTTTACCTTCATCCACCCCAGACCCACCTTCCTTTCATTCTCTGAGGAAGAGAGACCCTCTTCTGCTGTGACAGTGACTCGCCACTGGCCCGGTGGACTCCCTCCCTTCCCTTCTGGGCAACTTGCCACTTTATTTTCACATCCTTAGCCGCACCTTCCTGGCCCTTTCTAGTCTGAGTCACACGCAGAGCTTTGAGGGTTAGGGTTAGGGTTAGGATTTCATTATGGGCAGTATCCGAGGGAACACGAGCCTCTCGGGTGTCCCCTCTTGACTATTTTGACTTTTATCTAGTCTACTCTTCTGGATATGCAGAAAGATGGCTCTGGTCAGTGGTTTTCAAACTGCAGAATCTCAGCAAGTGACAGAGATGGGTCCCCGAGCCGTCTGAAAATACAAGCTTCTGCCTCTGTTTCCACCAGAGCAACTCTTTCTACTTCTGTTTAAGAATTTAATGGGTGAGGCCGGGCTCAGTGGCTCAGCCTGTAATCCTAGCACTTTGGGAGGCTGAGGCGAGTGGATTGCCTGAGCCTGCGGGTTCGAGACCCACCCAGGAAACTTGGCGAGACCTCGTCTCTACAATAAAATAAAAAATTAGCCGGGCGTGGTAGCGTATGCCTGTAGTCCCAGCTATTTAGAAGGCTGAGGTGGAAGGGTCACTGGAGCCCAGCAGATCGGGGCTGCAGTGGCCGGGAGTTGTGCCACTGCCCTCCAGTCTGGGTGACAGAGTAACTCCAACTCAAAAAAAAAAAAAAAGAATTTAATGGGTGAAGTGTTTAGTGGCTTAAAAAAGTGAGCCACTGATTTAAAAACAAATTCATGGCTGGGGCGCAGTGCTTTATACCTGTAATCCCAGCACTTTGGGAGGCTAAGGTGGGAGGATTGCTTGAGGCCAGAAGGGCAGGACCAACCTGGGCAACATAGCGAGATCTTATCTCTACCAAAAAAAAAAAAAAATTAACCGAGTGGCTGGGTGTGGTGGCTCATGCCTGTAATTCCACCACGTTGGGGCCAAGGTGAGAGGATTGCTTGAGCCCAGGAGTTTGAGACCACCCTAGGAAACATAGCGAGATCCCGTCACTATTTCTTTTTTTTAAAAAAACAGTAAAAAAAGCCGGGCTTGGTGGCTCAGCCTGTAATCCCGCGCCTTTGGGAGGCTGAGGTGAGTGGATTGCCTGGACCCGCGGGTTCGAGACCCGCCTGGGCAGCGAGACCTCATCTCTACAATAAATCAAAAATCAGCAGGGCGTGGTAGCGCGTGCCTGTAATTCCGGCTCCTCGGAAGGCTGAGGCGGAAGGATCGCCGGAGCCCGGCAGGTCGAGGCTGCGGTGGCCGGGAGCGGCCACTGCACTCCAGTCTGGGCGACAGAGTGAGACTCCAAATCAAAACAAACAAACAAAAAACAGTAAAAAAGAAAAAGAAAAAAAATCAGCCTAGTGTGTTGGTGTGTACCTGGACGCTGAGGTGGGAGAGTGTTTGAGGCCAGGAGTTTGTGGCTACAGTGAGCTATGATCACACCACCACACTCCAGCCTGGGCAACAGAGACTCTGTCTCTAAAAATAGATAAGTAAGTAGATAAATAAACATAAATAAAGATATCATGGCATGTTCTTCTGTGAGTTCACCCCACTATATGTTAGGTTTCGTGTTGTGGGGGGAAGGAATTGGTGTTCTATACTGATGGCTTTCATAGCCAATCACTGGAAGGATTGAAAACTTGTAGGGTAAAAATAACCTCCCTTCAAATTATTTTTTGTAAATAACTGACACAAAAATTTTGACCTAGTTTTCACCATCCAGAAAGAGGCCTGCCTCCCAAAGGCTTCAGACTGACCTCAAGGAAAATTTCGCGCTCTTCGGAAAACAGTGACCCAGCAAACACACTGTCTAAAACAAAGTCGAATTTGGACTATCTTTTAGAAAGTGACAAAGCCTTGTATTGTGCAGCCAAAGAGAAAGTAATAGATTTGAATATTAATTTTTGTGTTTATACATATACACGTGTGCCTTTTCTTTGATGTAAATTATTTATGTACTTTGAGACGATGTAATCAATTGCCCCATTTCTCTTTCTTTCTTTCTTTCTTTCTCTCTCTCTCCCCCTCCCCCTCCCCCTCCCCCTCCCCCTCC